GCCCTCGGATGCTCACTTAGCAGCGACAGGGCCCAGGAGTTTACAACATAAGACTTCAGTTTCAGTTTGCTGTGCACATGTGTTTCTCAGAGACTCAGTAGCATGCAGGAGTTTTAACTCTGAGATGGATGGGAGTAGTTATGTTATGGAGATAAGGTCTAATTCTCATTCGTCCATGTGTTCATTCAAGAAAGAAACAAAAAAAAAAAAAAAAAACCTGACCGATCTTTTCTTGATTAAGCAGGAGAATACCGTATTTACCCTTTATTGTTGGTATAAACCATTATTTTAGTGAGAACCATTAGCTATTTAAAACTTGGTACATAAATTAAAGAGGAGCTAAATGGATTTGTGATCGTTGCCATTAGTAGCATTTTAGATTATACAGGCAATTATTGTGTTCATTATCCTAGAACAGCCCCTTTGCAGAGCCATTGTGGTTGTCTTAGACATTATGCACAAATTTTCCCTTGGAGATTAAAATTTCCAGTAGCGTATTTAATTTTGTTATCACAGTTGCTTCAAATGAAACAAATATTATGACAAGTAGAAGGAAATCTGCTTTACTAATATAGGAAATTACAACAAATGTTAGAAATGACTTTCTCGTGTATTAATTTACCTTTTCTTATATACTCATAATTACTTTAAGTGATTAATCGTGTATTTTGTGGGTGAAAATCATAGCAAAAGCTATATGGTCTGTGGAGGTGTTAATGAAATTCTTTAAAGAATGCAGGTTCACATCAAAACTTCAGTGACCACTGTCTTTACAGAATCTGTAACTTTGTAAGTTTTTGTTTTAAATAGTTTTTTTTTAAGAGTCCATATTGTCTTTTACATGAATCAAAGAAACTTTTAAGGGTGTTTCAGAGCTATTCAGTGTAAAAAGATCAACCGCTAATTGGAAGTGGTTTAAAATAAGTGTCAAAATACATCTTTTCTTCCATTCCATTGGAACTGACCACAGAGTTGAGAGTGCGAGGTGTCCTTGGCCCAGGTGCACTTCCCATCCTGGAGAGCAGTCCRGGTTCAGGAGGAGCTGCCTTGGGAGGACAGGAGGCAGAGCTCCTTGCCCAGAAGTTGCCTTTGACTCTGGTTCACTTGCCCTTTCTTCCCACCTTCCAGTGAGGAGGAGTGGGAAGGCAGCATTTAGTTGTCTTCAGAACTGTGATATTCACAGTCCACCACATCTGTCTTGGTCAATTAGAAAGGTATTAATGCCTTGAATTATCTGCATATCCATGTGCAGTGGGCTGCTTTTAATGTTTCCATCCTCTGTGGCATTTTTCAAAGGAAACTTTGTATTCATTTCTGAGTGGTTTTGTCCCAGCTTTTAGCCTTTCACTGCTATGATGCAGGGAAAGTGTGAGGTAGTAGTTATGCGTTTTGCAGGACAGTGATTCTTTATTTTATTACAAAAAAAGACCAAYTCTGGAAGGCCAGATTAAATCATTCCTTTCACTTTTTAATGGGATTTGGATGAATAGAGTAAAATATGCACTTTGCATTCATTGATAGCATCTTTAGGTTGAGGTAATTGAGTCTTTTTTCCCTGACTGAATGAATAATGACTTCATCTGATCCTAGTGAGGCCTGAAACTTAGGCTGCCTTTGTCACAGCAGAAAGATCTGGGCTTCGAAACATGCTCTACTTCCCTGGCTTAATTTTTCTTCATTTTAATCCCAAAACCTATTTTTCTCAATAATTCAAGCATAAACTGTATAGTAGTGAAGTAGCGGAAATTGCACGATATTTGTCCTCCTTGTGCTGCTTTTTAAATGGAGCTGATAAATCAGATGCTGTGCTCTTGAGCAGCCTTGTTCTCAAGGGAAGGCCCTGCCCCTGCACAGGGAGCAACATGAGGTGAAASTTGGTAAATGCAGTGATTTCAGGCTGTTCACTGTCTAGGGAGGTGGTGGGTGTCACTGTCCTGGTGCAAGACCTGGCTACAGGCAAGAGATCACCTGTGCTGGAGTTCGAAGGCGCTCTAGCCGCCACTGAGAGTTGGCACACACAGTATGTTTTGGGAATCTGCAGTCTCTGTGGCCCATTGCATATCACTGACAGGTAAGAAGTGAGAGTTTCCTGTAAAATGACACTTAGTTTCTGTTTGAAGTTTTCTTAGTTAGGAATTTTGCATATTAATGACAAAGCATGCAATGGCCAGATGAGACTGTCAACAAGGGAAGCCGGCCAGGCTGCTTATCCCAAGCCAATGACCTTGCTTCTTCCCTATCCGAGGCCCTCTGCAATTGGAATTGCTTGCCTACACTTTCCTGTGGGTAGATCACACAACACACACACCCTGCTGTCCATGGCCTAGAAGTAGAGAAGCTGGCTCCCTGGCTATTCAACCTCAGATAAAGCCATACCAGGCCATCTTGAGCAGCCACATGAACTGCTGACCAGTACTCACCTTTAGGTTCATACTATGTCACTGTACTGTGGTTCCCTGGTGAGGACTCCCTCTCTCATACCAGAACAGCTGACCATCCAGTGACAAGGGCCCAGAAGACCATAAAGGAGCAGAAAGAGGTGGCAATCACGGGCTTGGAATGTCTGCACCCCCTCCTCCCATGGACACTCCTTCCCTCCGTCAGCCTGTCCCTCCTCTTCGCCTTGCTCAACTGTGCCTACTTCATTCTGCATCTCCACAGGCCCAGAAGCTTATTTGTGAGCTGAGTCTCCTGTTTCCTATTCTTTGGCCAAGAAGAAACTTCCTGCACTGCTTGACCAGGGCTTGGTTTCCATTATTGGCCCTAGGATTCTGAGAGGACCTGGTGCGGGTGAAAGTAATGACAAAACTACAGTGCAGATGAGCTGGCCTGTTCCATGCTGGGTTTGCACCACGAGGACAGCTAGACACCTGGGAAGGGGTGCCTGTTGAGTCCCAGTCCACGCTGTAGATCCTACCATGTTCTTTTCAGTGTAGGCTCAGGATCTGCACTCTAAACAGGTGTCAGTCATACTGCTCCTGGGTCCCTGTGGACTTCCCATTGTGTCTGCTGTATTTCAGAAGGCCATGCCTTAAAAAAAAAAAAATTCCATCATTAACTCTTCCTAATCTTAGAGTTTAGCACAAAATGTAGTAGACATGTAATTGTTAAATTAGTTTTCTCCAGAGCTGTATTAAATGGACTTTTTGACTAAGTATTGTCTTTTCTAACTACAGTTTCTCATGATCTCATGAGGATTTATGGCAAATATTAAGCAAAATCAGATATAAACTTGAATTAGGAGTCGTAGAAAGACCAAACTCATATTACTGGCCAAAGTTACGGATTTTCAAAAAGCATTAGAATAAACCAGGTTATTAGCTTAGCGACCCTCAGATTTTTACATTCAAAAATCATAGCACTTCAGTTGTTGCTGCCAAGGTTTGGGCAACCATGGAGTTGCTGCTGTTGGCCTCTTTTAGTTACTTTTTTTTTTTTTTTTTTCAGAAGTTGTACCAGATTGAGGAGAAGTTCTGATGATTGAGATCCCTAGCCCATAGGACTCAGCTAACTATCCTCATCACCATAAGCCAGAGTGGCCGGTTATGTTACTTACACGCTGTTCCTGGGTCTCCTCTTGCTGAGGCTGAGGCTGTGGCCTTTAGAGCCATGTACCTAGGGTGTCTGTGCTCCTCCAGCTACCTTTGCTGGGTTTTGCACACTTGGACAGAGAGACTTGAGAGTTTTAAGGGAAGTCCCCAAAGTCACACAGTCCTCCACAAAACTTGATGAAATGCAAATGTGTACAGTGACAACAGCATGTGTGCTTGGCTTCCTGGGTCACAGGAGCTACATGTGTTGTGTGCATGATGTCTCTTCATACCAGAGTCCTGTTAGGAGGGTGCCACCATGATCCCTGTTCCACAGGTAAGCATGCTGAAGCTCTTCTGGCCCAGGGCTGTCCAGAAGGCAGAGTCAGCCTTTGGATTCACTCCCTCCACAGTCCCAGGAGTCTCAGTTGCTACACTGCCTCTTTTCTCCCTCTATCTGCTTCTGCTGCCTTCCTGAAGCCAGCAGCGCCCCCTCGTGTTCTCCTGCCCCCTCACACTGTACTGCACTGTAGTCTTTCAGGGGTGAAACTAAAGAGAAGCAGCAGTTTGCAGAGATTGCTAGAGCTCGAAATTGAAGTTACATGCTTCACAGAGCCATATTCTCTTTACTTGTAAAACGAGAGCTATTTGGGTGGCTATTTCTCACTAGTTCCAAGAGCAACAAAAAAAAATGAACTTCTCCTTATTGACATGATTTTCTGTACATTTTTTTCAGCTAACGAGTGATCTAAAGGATGAATTTGAGTGTAGGGTATCATACAGGGAGATCCTGAAGTATGGAAATGGTGCAAATCAGAACGTTTTCATCACAAACTAATTACCTCTGTTGCCTCTTTCTCTATCAGAAGGAGTCCTGAGGCCTTTGCAGACAGACAGGCTCTTTTATGACATGGAATGGATGCAACCAGGGCAGGCTACATGCACGTGTGCACACACACTCTCACACTGTTCTGTTCTTAGGGTCACTCAGTCTGAATGAAATCCCTAAATGAGTGTGTGCAGGGATATTTGAGAATGACAGCGGGCACATTGGTCTGATGTGGCCCTTGCCGAGGGAGATAGGTCTTGGCTCTTGGAGGGCTATTGTGGGGCTGGTCACTGAGCAAGCCTTCTGTGCCCTCCTTTGGGCCCGCCATTCTTTGTGTCCTGGTTGTAGTCAGAGTGTCACCTGCCAGGAGGACCTGGCTCAGGGCTGGCCTCATGCTTCTCGGCAGGCCCTTCTTGAGAACACTGTGGGGATCAAGACCTGCTGGCAGGCATTCTGCCTGAGTCTATAAGAGGCTTTCAGGAGGAAAGTGATGTCAGTATGCTTTTGTACTCTGTTATTGTAAAGACTATAAAAAATCCTGAAGTCTTCTTAGATCATCATGATCATGGCTTCTGATTTATGGTGTTAAGACATATAAAGCTGGCTTGGTCCTATACTAATGTTWCACTGTTTTCTTTCAGATTGGTTTGCTGGACCTCGAGCTCAATCAGCTGACGAAGGCGCTATTTCTGGCTTTGGTTGTTCTTTCTGTTGTTATGGTAACCTTACAGGGATTTGCAGGCCCTTGGTACCGTAATCTTTTCCGGTTTCTTCTTCTTTTTTCCTACATCATTCCCATCAGGTAGGTTTAAGAGTTTATAAATAAAGACAAGTGTCTGGTTTCACACCATAATTCTTTTGAAAATTTTCTTTCTCAGTGTGTAAGAAATTATTCAAACACAGCTAAAGAGCAAGGGACTAGGAACCCTAATGAATCGGAGGAGTCCTTCTGTAGAAATGGTGTCCAGGGGCACAAATCAGTTTTGTTGGAATAACCTAGAGACTGACAGTTTTCCTGTTGCAGATGTATTGATAATGTACTCTTCAATAACTGGGAGATGTTTTGATAAAACATAGGACTGAGGGCTGGGATTGTGGCTCAGCAGTAGAACATTCATCTACCATGTGTGAAGTCCTGGGTTCGATCCTCCAAACCACATAAAAATAAATAATTAAAATAAAGATATTTTGTTCAACTACAACTAAAAAATAAATTTAAAAAAAATAGGACTGAGTCTGAGAAAATAATTTCCATTGATTGCCAATAGATTCCTGCCCCTCCCCCTGTCTGTGACCTTGGATCTAATTAAGTCATGGACAGTTTAAAGTCACCTATCTTTGAAAGAGGATCTGATATGTCCTTCAAGTTAGATGARTGTTGAGGAAGCTAGTGTTTACATATGAACCATCTTCAAAATGATAACCCATGTAACTAGAGACTGTATGTAAACAGTTAATATCAGATATCTATTTAAAGAGTAACCCTTACAGACATTCACAAATCCATTTTACATATTTGCAAAAATGATATCATTAAAAAGATATCCTTGATATACATAATCTAAATCATTCATATGAATAATTGAAACCCATTGAATCCTGGATAAGATGAGAGTCTGGGATAGTCATCTTTTATGGCATGGAATGGAAGAAAACAGGACAAACTCCATGCGGTCAAGGGCAAGACACTTGGAAGAGAAAGACGTCTGTGACCAGGTTCCTCTGAACGTCTCATGTCATGCACTGGGGCTTCAGTCCCTTCATGCAGCCTGTGTGCACCATGACCTAGTGGTGTGTGGCTGCCTGGAGGCCATCTTGTTCCTCTCCTTCTCCCGTAGCACTGGCCCCATGGAAGCTCCCATCTGCATGCTGGCACTCCTAGGGGCATCCACTCATCYTGCAGTTAGGTGGTTCTTACCACTTCGAGTTCACCTGAAGACCCTCTTTGGACAGGCCTTCGGTCCTGACCAGGAAGCACCAGCACTGTCTGCCGTGCTGGCCGCTGCAGTCCTGCATGGTTCATGCATCTCCCCAAACTCCTTGAGGGCAGAGGCCAGGCCTGGCACCTTGGCTGTATGTGGGAGACAGCTGTGGGGTTCCCAGGATGGGCTCCTGAGGTACTTGTGAGTGGACCTTCACGGCTTTGGGAAACCAAGCATGTTTAGCTTGTCAGAGTCGTCACAAACAAATGTTTCATGCCGTAAGTGGGCCCTAGGAACCTAATCTTTGTCCCCAGAGACCCACCGGGTCAGTGGCCACATAAAAAGTATCCTAGAGAATCATATATTTGCTTAATTCAACTCTCATGCCAGAGGGTGCATACTTAGGTACCAGTGATCCTTGAGGTAGTTCCCAACTTTAATGCATTTGACTTAAGTATGCATGGCTAGCCTCAGTCCCATGTCCTGCAATATCTCGTCGCCCTCCACTAACTTCCTCCATCAATGTCCCTCTCCACCAATACCTCCTTTCCCTCTATTCCCACTATTGCATTGCCTTTTCTTATGGGAGAATGTGGGCCAGACATCAGGTGAAGGAGGAATTGAAAAGAAAGACGTGTCCCCTGCTTTTCTGTTTCTGCCTACAGAAATACCTGGCTCTGAGAGGCAAAGCTGCTGTCGCCCCAGGTTGGTCTGTACCTGTAGCTTGCAGAAGCACCTCAATTCCTGGGAATGGATGTGCAGCCTGAAAACTTCTGTCAAGAGTTTTGTTGTTTTTTTTTCCTCAATGAAAAAAATGTATTCCAACTTCTAAAGTATGTTAGGGGACACTGAATACAGGCTTTAAGGCTATGTTAGCCTAGGCACTCTTTTTTTTTTTAATTTTTTAAAGATTTTTTTTTTAATTGTAGATGAATACAATACTTTTATTTTTATGTGGTGCTGAGGATCAAACCCAGTACCTTATGTGTGCTGGGCAGGTGCTCTGCCACTGACCCACAACTCCAGCTTCCATACTGTGATCTTTTTTTTGACAATTATTTTGATTATTTATTTGCATTTAGTATTATTTTTTAGTTTCTAATTGTCCAGCTTCTATATTTATTTTTCTTTCTTATACCCCTTTGAGTGTTTCTTTCTTTTTTTTTTTAATTCCAGTTTTTTCTTTTTATTAACTTGGAAGTAAAGCCCCATATTTCTGTTCTTGTGTTTCCCTAGACATTTTACCCTGCATGTGTAGTGAAGTTTAAGGCTGCCTCCATTTTTACTTTGCTCTCACACAGTGCAAGGCCGTAGCGTGTATTAGCTTTGCTACCTCCTCCTCCTCGTCTTGTTAACATACTTTTCCTGGGCAGCCTTTTACTTTGATTTTGGCCTCTGTTCTCATGGTACTCAAGGCTCGCAGCAGACTTCTGGGCGCCTGGCTTCTCAACATTAGCTCAGCAGTGAGGCTGCTTACAGTGAGTTTGCCCTGCACATCTGCAGTAGTCTTCTTCCAGAGATGGGAGGAAGGTCTTTAAGCAGTGCAGATTTCACTTACAGAAGAGCATCAGTGGTGATTATGTTTGAAATAAGACTTGGGAAATACAATTCTTTTCACTCTTATCCAGTATTACTGCATTGCTTACACAGGAGATAGCAGGAAGCAATGCAGGGCCTCATGTGATGAGAGGTGTTGTCAGTACACAGTCAGCATTGGTGTGAACACAGGGTGAGGGCACAGACAGGTCCAGTGCCCTCTCCTGTCTTCCAGCAGAGGTGCTGGCTATAAACAAGGAAGCAGCTCAAGTGCTCCTATGGTGGTAGATGCTGTTTCAAGCTAGAACAGCAGAGGGCAGCTCTTGTGGCTCTGGTAATCACTGAAGCACTGGGCTGCAGCCTGCATGCTGACAGCCACCTCTAAAGACATGGGGAAAGTGTGCAGGCCAGYGGGAACCAGAGCTCCACCTCTGCTCAGCAGTGCCTGGCTCTGCACTAGCTCCCTGCTCTCTGCTCCTCCAGCTGCTGTGTAAGGTGTCTGCTCCCGTCTTTGTCCAGAGAGCATCCTCTCTCCCATCTGTTCTTTAGAATTCCCAAATTTTTCTTGTTTCTTTCATTAATATTGTTTTTCTTCATGTAAGCTGGTGCTTTCATTTCTGGAATATTCTGTGGCATTAGGGTTCTGTTTCACAGTGCAAGGGGTTTGGGGTGTATTTCCCCCTCTTACGTCTGGGCTCTTTTATTATAGATTTTTAAGGAAATATTTTATTTCTGTATGCTATCTCAACTTATATTTTAAGTAAAATAACAATATTAAAAGAATTTGAATTATTGCCCCTTTATCCAAAACAGGTGAAGTTAATTACAGTTATGCAAATTATTATGTTTTATATGCATTTTTTAAACTTAAACTGATTTCTGTTATTTCATATTTGAATCATTACATACATTTCTAGTAAAAAATAGAAAATATTGAGAAGAAAATAAATATTATCTATGATCTTCCTATCTAGATAAATTATGTGAAACCTTTTAGATCTTACAGACTTAAAATTATGAATACACACATTTAAATATATATATATATAAAATCTTTCAACACACACCCTTTTTTTAAAATCTGTGGAATCTTTTTTTAAAAAATATTTTTAGCTGTAGATGAACACAATATCTTTATTTTTTTATTTGGTGCTAAGAATGAACCCAGTCACACATGCTAAGCAAGCCCTCTACTACTGATCCACAACCCCCCAGCCCCTGGAATCATTTTTTTTTTTTATTGTTGGTCGTTCAAAACATTACATAGTTCTTAATACATCATATTTCACAGTTTGATTCAAGTGGGTTATGAACTCCCAATTTTACCCCGTATACAGAT